TCCCACACACTTCCTCCCACATAGATTATTTTTTTCTCTTACATAGAATACTCTTAAAAGTTACAAAGAAAATTGCTCTAGATGTTTCTCTAAGGGAAACCCTTTATAAGAAACCATTGAGAACTTAGAAGACTCCTTAGAAGCAAGGGAGAGCAGCCTTCATCTAGTCAAGAGTTGATCACCTTGTCCCCATAAGTGTTTTTATAGCAAGGAATCCAAATAGGCAATAAAAATCCTTTCGAATAAACTCTACATGCAGAGCTCCCCTGTGTCTTTGTTCGGCACGGTACACTTTTCTTTGGTGAGGCTCGACGTGGGTGCGCTACTGGTTCGAGACATGTGTGCTAGCCCAAGTGTGGGGGTAGTGGGGCGTAGGCATGCTAGCTTTGGGCACCAACACATCAGTCTGAAATCCTTCTTTTGACCATTTGGCTCCCCAATTTGCCTCTTTTTCTTCTTTAAGTGGCTTAATTATTTGTAGCTTGCACAAACCCGCAAAATACCTTCCTCACATGTAATATTACCATAAATATGGAATAAAACATGATAACATAAGGGAAAATTCTCAGATATTTCATTCACATCAATAATTGTGATGCCTTGATGTCCATCTCAAGAAATTATATCCATATAGATTGAAATAGGTTTTAAGTTGAAGAACTCGTACCTGGGGCCTCTCCTTATTGATAGAATCTTCAACGGTAAATATATTATATTTAGATTCAACCTTAAAAGGTTGATTTCAATTCTTTAAAAGAATTAGTTAAGATCTTTATTTTCTAAGCCATCTTCTTACATGCTTAAATATTCATTGACTACTCTTTATATAAGTGGTAAGTTCTTCTTATAGGACTAATTTTTTTTTATTCTACATTTTATTTCACCACTATAAGTTATTTGCTTATAATCACCGATATTACAAGTATCTATTATTGAAGGAGTGAACTAGTTAATTTTGTATAATCACTAAGGATTTCTCCTATGATGCCAACATCTTAGTATTATCAAGCCTTATTCTTTAAGTGTCTAGAAATAAAAATGAATTTATGATGTTGTGTAGTTATTGAACATCAAATGCATATGGGCTATTTTTGAACCTAATACTATGATAACAAAAAATATAATCCATAACCAACAACAATACCACAAAAATGATATGTTTTTTATTTAAAGTGGAAAGGCACTGGAATGATGGACTATGCTTTTTTTAATCCTCCTAAATCCTTAACCCTCTAACTCTATGAGCCTCAATATAACATGAACATTGTCCCTTTTAAATTAGAATTCTCAAGTTCTCTAGCTTCAAAATATCCCTTAACAAATAGCCTTATCTTATAGAAAATTATTTTAAGGCAAAAAATGTCACTTATATCTAGAAAATAAAAATTAAAAAATTGCTTAAACTCAAGAATCTGAATTAATAAATTTTGAGGTAGTAACATCAAAATTTATGTTAACTTTAAGGACATCTAGTGCTATGCTAACAACATAAATAATGATTTTCTTAGCCATAGAATTTCTTGGCATCTTATTTTGAGTTTCTACAGATTTTGACTTATTTTGGCATTCTTCATTGTTCTTTTAAAGTCATTGATATGTTGAATAGATTCAAAACATGACAAATTCATTGAAGTTAGACCCCCTGAGATGCAAAGAACTCTTCTTTGAATAGTTTACAAAAATGTAGCATTCTCCATAAATATTTGGTAGTTGAACATTCTTATAGACCCCTTTATGAGATCCAAAAATAGCAAATCATTAAATTTTAATGGTCATGGAAGTGATTTACAACCAACATGAAGTATTTGATAGAGCTGCCAATGATTACATAATTTACAGCCACTGCAAAGATACCTTGGAAATCGTTAAACATCAAGAATCAAATTAATAATATGAGAATGAGTTGCATATGTGCATGATTCAAATGATGATAGAAATAACAGGAGTGCATAAATCTATAATATTACGTGCAACTGATCAAAATAATGCATAACAATCTCACAACTCATACAGAATTGTGATGTTTCCACACATTCTACCATTATATATGATCTCATACGTAACGTTTACGATAGCATTTGAAGAAATCATATTCTGATGGAGTGGACAATAATATAGAAAAATGATGAATAAAGATCTATCTCCACTTATACAGGTCGACGATCAACAATTGATCCTTAAGGTTTAATCACGTCTTCAATCTCTGGTAATATCCATATCCGAACATTTAATCAAGCCCAAGCTCTCCTACATCATCGGACCCGAGTTAAAGCACATAATAAAGGCTATCAAGGCAACATGATCGACAGTGTTGACATTATCCCATGAGTTGGATCACATCAATAATTCATGACCACGAAACAACCAAAAAATAAAAAATCATGCAAGCTTGATCAAATCATATTTATATTATTATCTACATAGTTAAAAATTAATTATATATTAATATTGATTGCATGGGAACATTTAAATCCATCCATTTCTAAATAATAATAATAATAATAATAATAATAATAGTCCAGCAAGGCGTTGCATTGCTCTGACCCCACTTGGTCAACATACTAACAATGACCAAACTATTGAACCATTTAATTAAAGGCATCCCTCGCTGATTGATTCTGCCAGCCATTACTGCAGATTCCACTATTTATTTATTTACACTTCAGCCCAAGCTACCAATCTAGAATATAATAATTAAGAAAAATGTCACCCAATTAATGACATTTTAAGTGAGAAATCATACCTTAATATAGTATAATATTATTTATTTATTTATTAAAAATCATCGTTTAATAGAAAATAATAAATATGAAAATATATTAAATTCAATATTTATAATTATTTTTCCATCATTTTAAATATATTTCCTTTTTATGAGCCCGTTGACATTTGGTGGGAGGAAACCTATCCAACTCAAATTCCTCATTGTCAAGTTAGGCCTAGCTTGAATATTCCTCATGAGAAATATAGGTTCTCATTGTAAATACAATATTATTTTTATTTATTTATTTATTTATTTATTTATTTATTTATGAAGCTGTGTAATTCAAATTCAACAATTTAAAATTCTTAAACATACTTTTAAGTAATAGGGGAAATGAAAATTGCTCTTTAGAAATCAATCAATCCCTTTCTGCTGAAAAAATTTGGGGCGAAGAAAAACTAAGAATTGACATAAATCCAGAAGAATGCACAGAGTTTTACGAGGTTCGACAAAAATGCCTACATTCTCGGGAGCAGAGCGGCGACTTTCTTTTCAATATTCATAAAAGAATACAGAATACAAGATTCAGCTCACATAGGGTTACAAAAATGACATATATATAACCCTATAACACAATTCCTTAAATTATCATGTATCAAACCACGGAGTGTTCCCCCCGCACACCCAACCCACATAATGAAACTCCTTCGATTGGACAGATCCTTCCGCTCCACTCCGCTCCAGCATCAATCTCATTTATGGTATATGAGCCATACCTAACACTTTCATCATCCATTTTTCAAATTCTCTCTTTTAAACGTAACCAATACATTTCATTTTTTTATCAAATTCTCAATAATTTTTTTAAAAAAAAATCACTTTTATGTATAATTTGTAAATATCAAAGTTTTCAGATGATCTGCACGTAATTATCCCCAACTGTAAATTGAAAATATGAATTAAAAAAAATGAATTAAAAAAAAATAGAAATGATTTAGTAAATAAATTGAGAAATAAATTAAGTGTGTTTTGAAAATGAAGCAAATTGGAAGGATAAGGATAGAAAAGGACCCGTTGCTTAACAAATAAAGCTTCATGCTTATCCCTAATACTTTATTAACAACTACGCTGTCCAGGTTAGCTAAAAAAAATAGAAGAAGGCGGCCGGCTCCATTAAACAAACCCGAGATTTTCAACAGAATATGTCATCATCATGCATTTTTGACTGTTACATTTCGGGGACTAATATTAGACGTACAAGTTATAAATTCTTCGCCATTAGCTTTATGGCTTTGAAGAATTTTTTACATATTACTTTCTATAATTTTTAAAATTATAAAACCACATATATAAGGATTTGGACCCTCTCATCCATCCGTGTTATCATGAAATCACGTCACGTGGCCGTGTCAATAAAAAAAATAAAATATATCCGGTAATACAAGAAAATATTTCTACCGTGTTATTCAGGTGTTATTGTGTGTTATTCAAGTGTAATTGATGTGTTATTGTGTTATTATAAGACCGAGAATAACACCTGAATAACACATAATAACACAAGGGCAATATTCTCCTGTGTTACAGGACCGATTTTTTCTTTTTACCTCTGCGTGACGTGATTTCATTGAACTCCGCACGTAACTCTAAGTCTTAATGCAATAAATTTAGACATAAATTTTTTTATTCAATTATTTAAGATATTTTGATCTTAAATCGAGTAATCAGAATAAATAAATATAATCAATATTATTACGACAAGTGATGAGGATTCAAACCCGTGAGAAGCTAATAAACTACAATTAGATCACACCTCGTGACGCATGCCATCATTCTTTAATCCATCGCAAATTATCACAATTTCTTACTATTTATATTTTAATTTTATAAAAAAAAAACAATTTAATTTTTAATTATTAAACAAATTAAACTCAAATAATTTCTCCGTTTCCCACACGCACGAAGCGGCACATGTGAGGCCTAGTTTTACACGTGTGAGGCGCGTGTGAGGATAATGCGCAAACGGTGTAGGCCTATTGGTTCCCCATGAGGGCGGCCCATGTAGTGGTGGCCCACGCTGTTCCCCTCCGTCCTTCATGGGCCCAACAAACCTCACCACACCTTGCAGGCATCTGATCCGGACAACTGCGCCAGTCACCCCTCCTTGCAGGCCCACCACTTTTTTACCATTTATATAATTAATTGTTCATCATAATATAATAAAAAATAAGAATTAAATGATTTATTTTTTTATTATTATTTTTTTTTTTGGAGAATTGCGGCATAAGATTAAGAAGGATAAAAGAATCCCCTTTCGGAGTTTATTATATTACATATGGACAGAAGGGAAAATTAGATACACACAGAACAGATTCATACCCAAAACGAAGTCCCCCTCCACAAAAGGAGATGCTTAGACGCTAGACGTACGATCATTAAATTTAAAATAAAAAAGGGTTCGGATCCGGGGTGGGACCCACGGCAACATGGGAAGGTTTAGCAACGATTCAACCCGTCCTTCCGGTTTAATCGAGAACCCCAAAACGTGATGACCGTGAGCCGGCCCACTGAGCCGGGCCGAACCGGGATCTCTCATCCGACGGCTGAGAATAGCTAGAGGAAAATAAAGAGATCTCGCCGCGCGTTAGGATTAGCGCGCATCACTGGCCGCGGAAGCAGAGATGGAATCGGCGGCTCCGGCGACCCGCCAAGCAGAGGTGGCGATTAATGGGCGCGTGTGCCAGCCGAGGGTGAGGCAGCCTTCCTTCTCCTCGACCCGGTAGCCATCTCCGCCGGCGAAGAGGGCGAGGAGCATGCTTGCTTGCTTGAAGGCGTTGGAGCCAAGATGTACGGGTTCGAAACCGGCACTACCCATTCTTGCCCTCCATTGATTGAGCGTCTCGTGACGCTCTGTTCTCTCCGACCCTTCGCAAGCCACAACGTTGCAGATTTGCCGGCCGAGGTAGACCTCGGACATCAACTGGTCCTGCTGGCCTTCGCCGACGCTAACGCCGCCTTCTAGTGAATCGAACATCGTTGAATAGTAGTGGAGTGCTTCGGTGAAGCGCTCCATGAACGGACCAGCGTTGTGGTTTGCTTCCTGCTCTATCACGGTTACGATGCGGGGTTTAACCGCGCGAACGGTGGAAAGAACTTTTTCCAGAGCCCCGGGTCTGGCTAGGAGGCGGTGCAGCTCAAATACGGAGTTGATCGCCACGACTTCCGGCTCGCCGGATCCATCGCTTGCCGGTGAGAGGGTTTCGAGCATGTAGGGCTCGAGATCAGCGAGACTTTTAGCGACAAAGCCGCGGTAATCGAAGTCAACGTGGATGGTGTCCGCGAACTGGGCTAGCTTCCAACCGACTTGTTGAAGAGCGTGATCTGCACGTAATTATCC